GGGACAAAAAGAAATAATTAATCACAATCCGCATATTTCAGTATTTTATTCCACAAAATGGCAAATATTAAGCAACCGCAATCAAATTACAGTGAATGCTTTAAAATGCTTGAAATTTATCTCTTAAATGTTGTATTTATGCGCTTTAAATAGCTGCTATTGAGTTTGCAGTGTTCGTGCGTTCAGCTATTATTTATTAACGCTAACAGCAGAAAACAGTATTTCTTTAGGTTAGTTTAGATTTTAGTACGTGGGAATACTGGATGCGATTGAACCTTCTCCAGAGAAAAGAGCGCGATTTACTAGAGCTTTTGTACGATTTGTTTCTGAGGTACATTCTATAAAATTACTTTCTGTAAACGATCGAAGTAATATTTATCACGAAGAAAAACCACTTTTATTATTCTCACAACGAAATAATACTCGACTGTCAGTCCTTAAACTGGGAAAAATGAAGTTACTAAAAATAATTTTTGTATGAATAATATGAAACAGCAGTAACACGTAATTGTTTCTGATGAATCCTTCCGTATTGACAAGTAACTACGTATCGTTGTAAAGAAAACGTTTAATTACGTCCTATTACTATTACTTATTCACATAGTCAAATTTAGAACACACACCTGCTAGACTTCATTTGTTTTCAAACAAATGAAACAATATGTAATCATATTAAGTAATTATTTACTTGAACATGGCTATCACTGGATAAATGGGTGTATCTGAATGCAACAAATGCGGCTAAAATTCGATATAAATTCAAAAGCTTCGTTCTCAAAAGAGATCTGAAACATTCAGCGTGTGGCTCGTAGGATTCCAATTCCTCTCGAGATTGGATCAAGATTGGACCGATGATACTCTTAAAACTCTATATTTTAAATTTGATGTGAGCGAATCCAGCCAACAGAAGCAGGAAAATACAGCTCGGGCATCTCGACGACACATATTTAACAAAGAATAATATATCAAAGTGACTTCGTGCCTTTTCAACACAAACCTTAACATTACATAAATTGCCAACATAGGGCTTTTAATATTTTGGGAGATTTTTAAAAGGGCTTTCTAATGAAATTAATATTTTACGGCTACTTAGCTCAGTAATTCACTGGAAATGAATTTTAGCTCATTTTGTTGGCTAATTTTCTAGCCGTTATTGTGTGCATTTGTGGCTTATACGAGTACGTAGACTAGACAATGGCAATATTTTATACTGTTCAGATATCCAGATTTCGATCGCACACGTTTAATAAATAATGTAATGTAGAATTTATCATGCAGCTTAAATCTTTAAGGTCTCAACAAATAGCAATCAAAATTTATAGCGAACGTTATACTGATGTTTTGGAGTAATAAAAGATTTTAAAATGATGGAAGTTTAATTAAACAAACATGTTTTTCCACAATTGGAGGAACTTTACAAGGTGGGTTGACGACACACTTTAAGCGAAAAGGATTTATAGTGTAAAATTAATCGTAAAAGCACACAGAGCACAACGTTTTCTCCAAGTTGAGATAAAGGTACTGAGAGAAAGCATCAGTTTAAGATCCCACAATAAAGATGTTTTTCAGGCATGGTTTATTCTCTTCTCTACCATACTAAAAGTACATTTTCTCTTAGCTGCCACGTTTATTTTGAATATGTATAATAGATGAACAGACCATAACAAACTGTAGTATTGTTGAACTGTTAATAAATTTAAAAAAATGTAGAAGACTACTTACGTTGTAATAAAGTACATCGTTAGTTTTAAAAAGTAAGTAATAAAAGAATTACACATAGTTATAATTGTCACAATTTTGAAAAGTAAAATGAACAAGAGTTTTTCAGTTGTTTACTCATTTGATTTTTTCTCTTGTTAGACAGTTATCTTTATTTAATATGCTTTAATAATAACAACATTTATTAAAATATGTGTAAGATGACAAAATGGTTCCTTAAAACTGTTACTGAAATGTTGTACTTATCCAAAAGCGCTTCTCAAAAAAAAAAACAGAAACTATTTTAACAGCATTAAAAAAATAAAATCAAATTTAAAATTTCAAGTGCTTTTCTAAAACACTAAATTTACTCTATAAGTTCTTTGTGCCCTAGATACAGCAGTTTCAAATTTCTATAGAAAAAATATCGGGTGATTTTTTAAATTTCATGGGTAACTAGAGCAAAAAATCACCCGATACAAGGTCCAACGGGATTGCGTGAACACACAATCACATTTTTTACATGCGAAGGTTTTTATGTAAACATTGTTGACAAATTTTTTATTCCTCTACAATTTGTCTATGGTAATTTTGGAACACTTGCATCTAGAGCTATATGAGTTGACTACACTTAGTATTACTTTACCTTACCTTAACTATAATGATAATAACTGTATATCCAGTTTTATTTAATACGAGAATGGAATGCATACTTTAAAAATATATATTGAAGGAACTTGACATTTATTGAGAATCTAGATGTTTTTAAGTACTAATATAATACGTGAAAGCAGTGTGAAGTGAATAAAATACATTAATGTAAGCAAATACGTAAGGAGCCGATGTGCTTATTTATATCGTTTTTAATTTAAAAGGTAAGTTCATAAAATTAACCTGGAACGAAAAGTTAGTATTACAAAGTGATTATTGAAAACTTTTTCTTTTCTTTGACAAGCATTCAGTTCTAGGAAAATAATTACACGCTTTGTAACGTTGGTCTTATTTCCTTTGAAAATTAAAACTGCCTTTTGTAACGTTTGAACTTATCCAAACAAGCCTAAAGAGAAATGCAGTTTCAGAAAATGAGTTTTTTAACGCGGAATAATTTAGAATACCTTGACAAGGAAAGCGTAATAAATTTTACATGACTTTTTGAAGTTTATCAGTAGTGAAATTCAATAATAGGTATATACTTCTTAAAATGTATGTAACAGGTCGCTATTTCATACTATTTATCATTTTCTTAATAATAATTATTAATCGTTCATTAATTTTTTTTATTCATTATAATGAGCAAAAATGAATAAATTTTAATTTTTATTTATATTTATATTTTAAATGTAATCATGAAATGTAACAATAAAATTTTATACATTTTAGCTACAGAACGTAAAAAAAAACATGAAAAAGTTTGGAGAGTTAGGCAATTTTCAGTACAACAAATTAATTACTACCTTAAAGAGTTTGTATTTTTCCGCCTATTTTAGTCTAAAAATAAGATACAATTTCCAAAATTTGACGGATTTTTGGAGAAACAGAAACAGAAATACTGTAGGACATATATTAAATACAAAAACAGTATTTGTAGTCAGTACATTATTTTGTATAAATTCCATCTCAAAGCAGTAGCAAGATATCAAAAATTTGTCGACGGATAATTTAAAGTTATTTAAAACTTTGTACTCGTTATTTAGTATCTTAATTTTTTGACATCAGTGCTACCATTTCCACAAAAAATGTAATAAGACTTAAGTTATTTAACAGCTAAATATCTAAATTTAGGGAATAATGACGACATGAGTATTATGCTCCAGTTAGGTATGATTTTTGCCCTTGCGTGGCAGAATTTGTAGCTACGTTCCTGATTTTATCGTTATTTACCACTACAACAATAAAGCAGAAATTACTCTGTTATTTAATAATTCTGCAAAAGTTATAATGAATTTTTATAGTTCCCACAAAGTTTGAAATTTTAAATTGCTTGTACCTATCAAAAGAACGTAACGTTTATTTAAAATTTTGTTTATTCAGGGTTGGAGGCTAAATGTCTTTAATTTTATTTAGCCAACGAAAGATATAACAGAAACTCCTTCTAAATCTCTCGAATTATTTATAATGAAATTTATTTTTTGCTACTAGCTGTATAAAGATGCTGAATTTTGTTGTAGATTATAAAAAAAACTTCCACACAATTTGACGAAGAAAGTATCTGAAAAAACATAACCACAAAAGCAGTATGCAAGTATTAAGGAAGAAATTCTGTTATAATTAAAACATATTTGATTTAAACGTGATTTCATCTTAAGATGTGACACGTTTAGATTAGGGACAGACTTATATGTATAACTTATATAAAAAGTGAGGTTTTGTAACACAAGTTAATTCAATTATCGTCAGTTATTATGCTTGCTTCTAAAATTGTAAAAAATATTTTTTTGACATTTCTGAAGCTGAAAGGATAATAAAAATTTAACTACATTGTTTTTGGTTTATTTATTGCTAAGTAGTGTTTAAATTCGGAGTTGGACATGAGGTTTCTTGTTTAAAAATTATTTAGCTGCTACTTCTGGATGAGAATTCGGTAATTTTGGGTAGGTGTGAATCATATTGATTTTGCGTCACGCTTAGACATACCAATTCCAATTCTGCTTAATTAGTTATATTTATGATCAATTTATTATTTAAAATTGGTATTGATTTTTCCCGACACTGTAAGTTTCCCTATCAAAGCGCTAATTGTTATTAAATTAACTTCAGAGGTAATTCGGCATAACCACGCTTGTCATTTGCAGACCGTGCTCACATAAGCGAGAAATTCTGAAACGTGTTATTATATAAGTCAATTTTATTTTTTTGGTGTCATCACTTTCGCACCATTTGATGTCTTTTATACCTTGTACAGCAAAAACCGCTTTTAACAATCCTCTATCCTACAAACACTTTTTTGTTAGCAGTTCTGTCGAGTAGCGTTTGTCGTAAACCTTTCAGTCAAGAAATAACCGCCCCTAATCAAGACGGACCGCCCCCGTTAAAACCAGCTAGAGAGAGGATTTTTTCCTTAGAAAGTTTTAGTTAGACACGAGAAACAAATCACTACAAAAAATTCTTAATTTTCTATATATATCCACTGTCTTAAGAGATTTATTGATTTCATAAATGGTAGTGACAAGCCCACCAGAACAATTTATTGGTTTTATCGAGGTCGAAATATTGGTGCTGGTTGTTTGTTACGTAAAAAGTTACATTTCCATGTTTGCTTTATATCCGGGATTGTTTATAAAGTGGAAAAAAAAATCACTTACTTATGTAGTGGGAAGATCCATTTATGCAGTAGACAAAATATAAGAGAATCACGAAATAAGTTAGAAAGTTCAGAGAATGCAATGCCATTCTCGTCCAATTCAAAGCACTGTTTTTTAGACAACATCCATCTTGATTTCTTGAGTTGTATTTCACGTCATTGACAAACTATAGTTTAAGTTGCACTAGATTTGATTTAGACTAATGTTTCCTTCCACATGTGCCTCACATTCTCCCTACTTTTCACAGGACACCCTCACCGCAATACATCCCCTCTTGCCTTTCAACCTCGCCCTGTCTGTAACAAAATGACATTATTAACATTATTGTTATAGTCGCGATAAAGCCAAGGCCCATAAATTACACCTCTTTTATACAGTGAGTATAAAAAAAATCATACACATAACTGCTTTTAACAGATTCTACATAATTCCATGAAATATCTAGGATTCCATTATGTATGAGGTGTTTATCGCGTAATCCCCCGTAATGATATATTGCTGTGTAGGGGTGGTTAGTTCTGTATTAATGAAAACTTGTATTGCCTACTGATTTCTCTTTTTCACCCTCACCGACAATAAAACTTTCCGACGCGAGATAAAACTTTTTAAAAGGAAATAGAAATGGAAATTCTTCTTCAAACGCGTTATGGTCGCTGCTTCTTTACTGCAGAAGACATTTTCGACAATTTTCCCGACATATTTTTCGAACGACGGAGGAGGAAGTTACATTTTGCTAAATCGTTTTTGGCTCCTGTTGGCATTACTTACCTCGCACTATTATCGTCGAAGCGCGGCGATTACAAACTCTTAAATTTGAGTCAAGGGTAATCCCCGTTTCGGCGCCGAGAAAGTTGTGGAAGTTTTAGTGTACACAATACACAAACACCCCTCCGTACGTCATGGCGTAATCTACCCCGTGTTGAAAACTACACTGAACTTAACTTCGAATCATCCTCTCAACGGCCTGAAACACCCATGCGCAACAATCTTGCTGCATTTCGCAGGAATTATGAAATTTGTAGCGGTAAGAGCGATACGGGGACCTAGCTGGAAGTCATTTCGAAGCTGGGGAAATTACAGGTAAGTACAAACAATAATAACAACCCTGTTGGATAGCCGTAACGTAATTTTGTTCTCGCATGCTGGCAACAAGTAACGACGTGTTAGGCGAATTTAGTTATAGATAGAAATTTCTGCATCGATGGAAAAAGGTATTAATTTTTAATCAAAAAATTCACTTTAATTGCAGCTCTGAGTAAAGTGACATTTTATAGGATTTAACTGTCCTGGATGATGCATGCGAACAAAATAGCGTAGGGAATAATAGCGCACGAGTAAAAAAGCTCCCTTTCAAAAAAAAAACGCAGATTTGCCATTCAGATTTTTAATAATCAGTGAACAATTTAAAATCCTAATTTGAACGTCATAAAATCCCCGATATTTTGTAAGAGCGATCATGCGTTAATCAAAATTGACGCCATTTTAAATATTTCACATATTTTTCGGTCCACAAAGTGTACACATGACCTGCTGATTTTAGTGTGTAAAATAAAAAATTTCTACATGTGTGACCACCGAGCTAAAAAGCAAATCCTATTTTTAATTTTGTTTATGGTTTACAGTTAATGGAATTACTAAATAAGGACATAAAATCAAAATGCAAATTTATTAAACACTTGTCAAAATTTAAATTCAATATCCTCCGAAGACGTATAATAATTTGTCCCTGATAACGTTTTCATCTGGTGTCGTATTATGTCGTTTTTATTGCCCCAACGTAAACTAGAGAAGTATGGTAATAGGGTCCATTTGACGAATAGCTATTTTCATGTTTTCTGGACGTTTCATGGGTTCCAAGACATAAAAAGTTAGGTTTCCTTTTTCCGTCTGTCTGTAGGAGTTTTTATTAGACACGTAATATTCGAAACTACTGAATAGATTACTGCGAAATTCTAAGTACATTTTAGAATTACGTCACCTAAAAATTGTACCAAGTACCTACTTCCTATTTATAATGTGCACAATTATATGCTGCTATTTTTGTGGTTTAGAATAATTATTATTATTGCACGAGAGATCGTATCGAGTAGACGTGTCTTAAACATCTCTGTAATTGTAATACATAGAGAGCGGATTTCTAGGTTTAATGCTTTTTGTGAAAAATGTAAGCACTTCAAAACTTTTTTATATCTGTAACTATGATACAATTTGGAGTCATTTGACGCATTTTTTTTAATGCTTATTTGCTTTTTTTTTCAATTTTATGCATATTAAAACTTATATGCTTATTTAATGCTTTTTTCGACGAATATGAGTTTTAATGCATATTTTGTTCAAATGCCGGCATTGTCGGGATGACAAATACTTGTTAGCTAGCCGTATCGTATCGTATGCATTTTACCTGGACTTGACCATTGAAGTACACTTACTCAAGACCCTTTCTGTGAATGGGTTCCGGTCGTTTGGGTGACAAAATTTTATTATAGGATTGGAAAAATACTCCATAGATTTTATGACTTTAAATCTTTACTTCCGTTGATAATGAATTAAAGCTTTTAACCAGATGTTCTTTTTCGGCATTTTGCGGCAAGACCGTTGAAGATTTTCTAGAAAAAAGATTATTGTACCCAACTACCTACCTTAAAATTTTTCTAATGGAAACTTTTAAGTAAATGAACCGTTTATTTCACAACCATCAGTCTATCGCATCTGTCGTAGTACAGTGTTATACGTGGTTCTCCCTTGTTGCGTGTTGAGTTCTTTTTGGTAATATTACTAATATTTTAAAAGAATGCCGAAAGTAAAATCGACGCCGGATGAGTGGATAAGGGATTTTCCAGAATTAAAATTAGAAAACAACAAAATATTCTGCAGAGCTTGTGTGAAAACCGTAAGCCCACTAATTTTTTTTTTATCTATTTTCCTTTGTTAATCCCTGTATATGTACGTTGTTTTAGATTCACAATGATAAAAAATATAACGTGACGCAACATGTCAGAACGACTCTTCATGTAGAAAGGAAGAAAATGTTTGAAGTTTCTAAAATTAAACAGCAGACCATACATGAATCTGTTGCATCTACTTCCACAAAAGATGAGCAGTTTCAGTTTAGTCCAATATACCTTTAAAAAAATTGGAGAAAGGCTCTCTTCAAGAATTTCTTGAAAAACTCTGCAATCGACATATTCCGGTTGAAAGTACTCTCCGAAAAAATTATGTAGGCCCAGTGTTTCAGCAAGTTTACAACGAAATTAAACATCGCATTGGAGATAATTATTTATGGTTCGCTGTCGATGAAACAACCGATAATTTTGTGGAAGATACGTGGCAAGTTTAATTGTTGGAATCTTAAATGAAAATTTCCCTAGTCGAGGGTATGTAGTAAGTTTGAAAATGTTAGATAAAACAAATGGCAATACGATTACCAGATTTGTAAATGACAGTCTTACGTCACTATTTTTGCCAAATGCCGTACCGGCGAATAAAATTTTATTGATGATCTCGGATGCAGCTCGTTATATGTTGAAAGCAGGGAATAATCTAAAAATATTGTACCCCAATTTAATTCACTCTACTTGCATTGCCCACCGTTTAAACAGAGTGGCTGAAGAAATACGTTTGCAGTTTCCTACTGTTAATAAATTAGTGGCAAATGGTAAAAAGATTTTTGTTAAAGCCCCACTAAGAGTGCAACATTTTAAGGAAAAATTTCCAAACATACCATTGCCCCCAGAGCCGATTATAACGAGGTGGGGAACATGGTTACAGGCCACATTTTATTATGACACATATGTCAAAGAATTTGAGGAAGTAGTTACGGAGTTTAGCGAAGATTCTTCTCAATCAATTAAAGACTGCATAAATATTTTAGAAAACAAAGATTTGCGACAAGATCTAGCTTTTCTAAGAAGCAATTATCAATCCCTATGTGAGGTAATAGAAAAGTTAGAAAAACCCAACATGTTGTTGGTAGATGCCATAAATTTAGTGAAAGAATTTAAACAACAAGCAAACGCAGTAAGGGGTGATATTGGTACTAGAGTATCTCAAAAACTTGACGAAGTGTTAAATAAAAATGCATGTTTCGGTGTTCTTTCCGACGTTGCTCGTGTTTTACAAGGCCAGAGGGTGGAAAATTTGGAGTTAGATTCAACATTAGTTGCAAAATTCAAATTTGCGCCAACAACGAGTGTGGATGTTGAACGCACGTTCTCCAATTTTAAACACATTTTAAATGATCGGCGAAAAAATTTTACAGTGGACAACCTGGAACATATTACAATCAGAAATTGTTTTAAAGAAAACTGAAATACGTGTGTAAAATATAAAGTCTAGGATTATTGTAATAATATTTTATCCAAAGTTCTAAGAAGTGTTCTTTGATTTGTAATATGATTATGTTTTTAATGCTTTTTTGCTTAAAATAAAACTTTTTTATTGAAAATGTTGTGCTTATTTAAGCGCTTATTCTTAATTTTTTTGTGCTTATAAATCCGCTCTATAGAATACAATTTTACCACTTATAAGTGAGTAATAAGTACCAATAGTGTCAGAAAATGCCTGCTGTTTGCACAAAGTGTAAGATGTCAATTACCCCTACTGTTCCGGGATTGAAATGTGTGGTTTGTAATACATTTTCTCACATCAAATGTACTGAAATATCAAGAGCCCAGTATGACGTAATAAAATCTACTGAAGGTATAGAATGGAAATGTTCTGACTGCTGCAATATCAACTTATCCAAGGACCCTAATGGCACCTTAAATACCACAGTTAAAAGAAATAATCAGTGATATGGGGAAATCAGTGGAATCGCTGAAGGTTCAATTATCTGAAGCAAAAAAACTTACTGATGTGAATTTTGAGGAGATAATACACGATTTCATCTATCTCAGTATAACATCATCAGAAACTCTCGTGATAGATTGCTAGATCTTGTTTTCTCAAACACTAATTGTAAGGTCAAGCGTGATTTAGTTCCTATTGTTGTAGAAGACTGTTACCATCCAGCTCTCTCAGTTTTAGTTGATTTGACAAGTGATAGTACAAACTCTTTTCCAAATAATGATGTAAGTCAATCAAAGTCTTTTAATTTTCGTAAAGCTAATTTTCCTTTGCTTTATCAGGAACTTTGTGATGTGGATTGGTCTTTTTTAAGTAATTTGAAGGACATTGATACCATGGTAGAACATTTTTACACCTATTTATATAAAATATTAAGAAAACATGTACCAACATATAGAGCTATTTCCAAAAAAACTAGATTCCCACCATGGTTTGATAGTAACATAATCAGTAATATTAAATCCAAATCGTATTATCATAAGAAATATAAAAATACATTTTATTACGCAAAGTTCAAATTTTACCGTAAACTGCTAAAAAATTAAATAGCTGCTTCACATAAAAAATATCTTGCGAATATAGAAACTGATGTTAGGAACGACCGCAAAATATTGTGGTCCTACGTACAATGCAAAAAAGCTCTGACACGAATTCCTAGTCGAATGATATATAATCATAATTTCCTTAATACTCCTTCTGATATTGTTGATGCATTTGGCTCTTATTTTCAGTCTTCTTGTACTCAATCTTCTGACAATAACTCCAATATAGATACTTACAGTTTAAACACACCAACGTTCTATATTAAAGAAATTACTGAGCATTATATACTTACTCAATAATTCATCTACAGCCGGTCCAGATGAATTGCCTAGTTTTTTCGTACGTGACTGCAAATATGTATTTATTCAGCCTTTATTAGCAATATTTAATACCGCCCTCAAGAATGGTGTCTTTCCATCGAAATGGAAGCTGTCTAAAGTCATACCTGTTTTTAAATCTGGAGACAAAGCTGATGTTTCCAAATATTGTCCGATTTATATCTTATGTAATCTCCA